ACATACAACTCCCCAAACAAAACTGAAAAAATCCGGAGAGAAATACAAAACTTCATTAAAGAAGCCGGTGAAGCATTATTCGAGACGTGGGAGCGGTTCATACAACTTATTCGGAGATGCTCGAATCACGGACTTCAAGAGTGGCGTCAGCTGCTAATATTCTACGATGGATTGCAAGATAACTCGAGGACTGTGCTCGACTCTGCAGCTGGGGGAATGTTCATGAGTTTGACCTATGACGAAGCATGCGAAATTTTGGAGCGAATTGCTAGAAATAAGTACATGCGGGCATGAGACCGGTCAAATAGCGGAGCCAATAAAACGGGAGGAATTCTAGAGTTAGACGGGGTCACCGCAATCATTGCCCATTTAGAAAAGCTATCAAAGCAAGTAGCAGCTCTGCAGACTCAGCAAGTCCATGCAGTCCAAGGTCCCGACCAATGCATAGAAGAAACGGTGTCTCTAACTTACGTGAATGACACCAACCGACAACAAAGGAACCCGTACTCCAACAAATATAATCCGGGATGGAAAGATCAGCCCAACTTTGGATGGGGAGGAAATTAGCAAGGACAAAGATAAGCACCACCTCAAGGTCAACCTCCTAGTTATTCACGGCCAGCTCCCGGTTTCCAAAATCCTCCTTAAGCCCCACCTCAAGGTGGAGATCTCGCAAATATCTTAGCCCAATTCATGACATCAACTCAAGCTTCCATCCTAAATTTGGAAACACATATGGGGCAATTTGCAACCCAACTAAACGCGAGGCCGTCGGGATCATTGCCGTCAAATACAGAAGATTCTCGAAAGAGCAACATCGAGCAGTGCAATACTGTAAGTCTAAGGAATGGGAGACAATTGGAGGAAGCCCCACGAAAAGAGAAGAGAAACACGGTAATCGAGAAGCCAAGAGTGATTGAGGAAAAAGAAGAAACTCAGGAAGAACCACTATCATCAACAGTGATTTCACGAGCCCCTCTAATTCCATATCCTCAAATATTTTTAAAGAAGAAGCTCGATGCCGAATACCAAGGATTTTTGGACAAGTTGAAAGAAATTCACATAAATATCCCTTTTATCGAAGCCCTTCAAAAGATGCCAAAGTGGGTGAAATTACTCAAGGATCTCGTGACAAACAGGAAGAAATTGCAAGGGAACGAGATGATCCAACACACACACACACATATATATATATATATATATATATATATATATATATATATATATATATATATATATATATATATATATATATATATATATATATATTGTAATGTCAACGACAGTACAATTACTGTATGTCATACAGCGACAATACAATTACGGTCAACTTTCGACGTCGGGGGAAAAATTTGGATAAAAGTTGTAGGTGAAAATAAATTCAACAAAAGTCAACGCCGGAGAACGCGACGAAAAGACAGAACACACACACACACACAATATATATATATATATATATATATATATATATATATATATATATATATATATATATATATATATATATATATATATATATATCAACGCTGGAAACCGACGACAAAAATAACAGAAAAATAAAGTTTTAAAAAAGAAAAAGTTGAAATTGAAGTTTTGTGGTCAAAATTTATTAAATTGAAGTTAAGTTGAGGTTACAATTAGGAATTGAGTTTAGATGGTTGTTAGTAATTTTGCCATATATATTAATTTTGCTTATATTGATAATACATATTAAAAGGTTGAGCTTATTGGCGAAAGAGATATAACCCCTAATAAAGATGGCTGGTCAGAGACTTATGCATAAAACCCCATAAATTAACTCCTAGCACATTTCCTGTCTTTAAATCAATCCCCAATTTCCAGCAAGCCCATGATAAAACCATTGTTAACGTTGTGAACATCCCCAATTTCCAATTTCTAAATCGACCACCGTCGCCGGCGTCGGTCATGACTCTGTAGACGGGGTACGTGTTTAAACTTCGATTGTTTCAAATTGAATGCTATTTTTTCAAGTACTA